TATATATATAATATATATAACCATCACACTAACATTTTAGGTTGAAAAAAACAGTTTCTCATAAAAGAAAACAATTGTAGAAATTAGGTAGATAGGGTTGTGAATTTAGCTCAAAGATCGTTAATCACTCGAAAATCGATTTGAATTTTAGCTTTTATCGAAATCGGATCGAAATAAACGAGCCGAGCTATGAACCAAAACTTTGGATCAAATTTTTTACATGGATCAACTTGATATGACTTGAGATCGGCTCGTATTATCTTTTTTTATAAAAATTATAATATTTGAGCTAGTATTTTTTGAATTAGAGCTGAGACGGCTTGAAATCGAATATAATGAGCCACGAGTCAATTTCGAGCCGCCTAGCTAACCCTAGCTTGGCTTGTAATCGAATCGTTAACAGCCCGCAAGCAATTCCCCAAACGGAGTTGTGGTGGTAGTCCGAAATATAAAGCAAATAGCATGCTGTCCAAAACACACCCTATATGTTATCAACAAAATCAAGATGATGAATCTTTAAGCTTATGAGACTAGTATCTCTTTTGTGAAGCTTATTGTAGACGACTCTTAGGGCAGTGGATGTGGTGTTTTGATTGTGGGTAAGATTGATATATGATTGCTGATTTGATCACTAGTGAATGAGTGGATGAACCCTATTAAAATGTTAAATCCTCCTAAACTTGTTAAGCATGCATGGTGGAGAAAGTTGAGTTTATGTTCAAGGTTAGAAAAATTTTTTTAAAACAAACCCTAAAATAAAAAATAATTATTTATTCAACCATGTGAAATGAAGAATTAGTAAACTGTGACTCCAGGCTAATCCAAACTCCAACCAGGAATCATCAGGCTGATAGCATCAACTCAAAAGCAGCTGTAGTTGCTTATGGTGACAAGTCCGGCCAACAAGAGGATGAAGGAAGCCGCGGCTACCTATCTTCTGTTCTTAATTCAGCTAAACAAAAGGCTGCAGGTTTTCGGCTGGCTCTGAACAATCATCCATCAAAAGTTGATCAACTTGTTCAGCCTTCATCTCAACCACCATTTGAATCAGATTCCTCCGCTCGATCTTCTACAGAAGCTGAGGAACTACCTGTGTCAAGCAGCCTGGAGATTGATTTAAAGCCATTGAACCCTTTAGGTTTTCATTGCTCGCTTGACTCTGAACTTTTGCATCCTTTGGAAGATTACAACAAATTTAAATATGAGAAAGAAGCTAAGTTTGAAGAGTGGCTGCAGGAAATTGAAGGGCATGACAAATTTCATACACCTGGTGATTGATATTGTCTTGGAGATGTACTTGGGACATTGCCTCTGGTAAGTGTATTCTTTTCTTGGGGCATTTACATCAACAGCACACAATTCATATATCTAACACCTCAAATGTCATATTAGCATGCATATCACTCAATTTTTTGACAATCACATAAAAAAAGACACATTTTCATGCATAGATTTATAACATTAAAATGTTATAAATATAAATATGAAATTTTGGGTATTAGATATGTAAATACATAAGAATTGTGTTATATGTATGTAAATTTTCCCTTTATTTTTTGATTTAGTTACAACAGTAAGAAGCAATTTTTTGTTATATATTTGTATTCTTGCGATATTCATGATAATAATCATCTGATATGTATCTAAATTTTCCTTATTTTTTTTTCTGTTTTATATGCAATAGTAAGAAGCAATTTCTTTTTGTTTTATATTTGTATTCTGCTGCTATATTTATCGCACCATGCAACATGAAGTTTATGCACATTAGCTACAATGCTTATATCTTCAATGAATAAAGTGCCAAAATAGTCTCTAACTATTTATATGTGGTCATTTTAGTCCAAGAGTTTATAGAATTGTCAAAATAATCAGGCTGTTTAAATTAACGCTAAAATAATCCTCTCATGGAGGACTTTAGAGTTTAATTTTAAAATGATTGGGGATTATTCTGATTTTTTATAAACTTTCGGACTAAAACGGCCCCATGAACTGTTTAAAAACTATACTCTTATTTTTTATTTTCTACTTGAAAGGCTTGTGCAATGAGTGACTCGTTTTAGATTGATCTTTACTCGTTTAAGGACAGAACAAGGTTTTGTATTTCTAAGGAAGTAGGAGGAAAATTGCGTGAGATATGATATCTGGATAAATTAGGAGTAAGAAGATAAAATAATATGATGTAGACGATAAATGCTCTAAAATTTATAAGTTCTTTAAGATTACGGGTTCAAATCCCCCATTGTGTAGCGTGTGGTACTTGAATATCAACACACCTAAGGATGGTCAGGGCTTGGTTAATAGCCTTCGACCATTCCTTTTTTTTTTATTAAAGAAAAAGAATAATATTGTACATAAAAATTGTCTCAGCATGAATCTTGAGGAAATTCAACGAATTGAAATATAAAAGGAAACATTCCAACGGGTTTCATTGACAAGAATCAAATGATACAATATCGTGATAGCCAAATGACAAAAACATCAAGCGACATCTCCTTTGGTCGAAACTCTGAGCCGACTGAATCGAAGGATATCAGAATGAAGGATGGAGCTTAATCCGTGAGACATTCATTCACAACCAGCTCTCCCAATGGATTTTGGAGTTTCACACAAAATGGCCAAACGCCCCTCATCTAATAAGGCCACTTCTCCAAGGACTCTCTGTCGAATTACGATGACACGCTCTTTATCCGACGACCCAGTTTATCCTGATAACAAGAGTGTCTCTTCCCGAGATTTTCTTTTGATAACCCAACTGACGACCATCCAGCCGATCTAAAGTTTCTGGTGGACAAAAGACTCCATCTGACCAAACAATAAGGTCATTGAGTCATAAAATTATAAATACGAAAACACCGAAGAATAACTTGTAACACCTCTTTTAAAGTGGTTATGAACACGAAAAGGTGCCAAAATAACTTATAATGCCTCTAGTAAACTGGGAGCAAGTATGTAATTGTATACTTGGTGCACACAAAATCTATAAATGGGCAGTCTTTTTTACAGTAAAAGACTGTTAATTCGTCATACTTAAACCAAAATAATAAAATAATACAACAATATGATACCAAGATAATACCCAATAACACCACATTAACACAAATCAATAAAACCAAAAACCTTATGACACCAATAATACAACAATAACACAAAGATAACACCCAATAACACCACATTAACACAAATTAACAACTCAACAGTTCTACAATCTCACCTCAATAAAACAAAAAAAAAATACATCTTCAAAAATAAATTAATAACAACAGAATAACTCAAATATAAATCACTAAAAACATCTACTGTAACACCAGATTAACTCAAGAATAATAGTGAATAACATCATTTCGAGCGCAGCTAAACTCACATCTGTTTCGAAGATCTCGCCCAATATTTTCAGAATACATCATCATCATTTTCGAGTCGAGAGAGACGTCCACTGATGCGATGCAAAATCCGAGCTGCCCAATACACACACAAATGAAAAGGTGACAAAATAAAGCCTATACACGACAAAATAAATCGTTTTCGAAGGATTGCGGCCGGGTAGCTCGTTAAGAAAAAGAGCTATTTCATATTTTTATCAGTGGGGCTCTTAGTTTTTATTGACGATCAACCTAAATTTAGGTCGGCGACCCAATATTTTTTCTGCCACTAGGCTTCACCTTAAAAGCTACCCGAAGTGTAAGAAATCTAAGAAAGAGAAGTGGCACTCATGGAAGAAGCCTTGTCCCTAACAATCCTTATCCCAGTCTTCTTCACCGCCATAATCTCCTTCCTCCTCTTACCATCTCATAAGAAACGCTCTCTCCCTCCCGGGCCCCCTTCCATCCCCATTCTCGGCAGCCTTCTATGGCTGCGACACCCCACTTCGCTCTCCAACTTAGAAACCATCATCAGAAACCTCCGTTCTCAACTCGGTCCCATCATCACCCTCCGCTTCGGTTCCCAACCCTACATCTTCATCGCCGACCGCTCTCTCGCCCACAGAGCTCTAGTCGAGCTCGGCGCCTCCTTCTCCTCCCGCCCTCCGCCTCTTCCCTCCAGCCCCTTTCTTAATGCCCGCATCTCAACCATCACCTCTTCCCCTTACGGAGACCACTGGCGTCTCCTCCGCCGCAACCTTACCTCCGAGATCCTTAACCCAACAAAGATCCGTCTTTTTGCTGATGGACGCCGTTGGGTCCTCAACCTTCTTATCCGCGATCTCCAAACCAAGGCTGAACAATCTCCTCAAGGCGCTGTGGTTCCCATGGAAAGCTTCCAGTTAGCCATGTTTGGCCTCTTGGTCCTCATGTGCTTTGGAGAGAAGCTTGATGAGCAGGCTATAAAGGAGATTGAAACATCACAGAGAGAGCTCCTCCTTCATTCGGGTAAGAAGTTGCTAGTCTTTGCTTTTGTTCCTAAATTACTCTCGAGATCTATGTTCCAAGGGAGGTTGAGGACTGTGGAACGGTTAAGGCAGAAGCAGAGGGACCTCTTCCTCCCGTTGATAAGAGCTCGCAGAGAGAATCAGAAGCAGGGCGGGGAAGAAAGATTCGTTTACTCGTATGTGGATTCTCTCCTTGACATTACTGTGCCAGAGGAAGGGGTAAGCAAACTCACTGACAATGAAATCATAAATCTGTGTTCGGAATTCCTTATCGCTGGAACAGATACAACAGCTACTGCGCTGCAGTGGACTATGGCGGAGATAGTAGCGCGGAGTGACGTGCAGGCGAAGCTGGTGAAGGAACTAGAGGCTCTAAATGGAGAAGAGCTCAAAGAGGAAGATTTGCAGAAGCTGCCTTATCTGAAGGCAGTGGTGTTGGAAGGCCTGCGCCGCCACCCGCCGGTGCATTTCGTGGTGCCGCACTCGGTGGTCAATGATGTCGAATTTGAAGGATATCTTATACCCAAGAACACATCGATTAACTTTAATGTGGCGGACTTGGGTTGGGATGAGAAGGTGTGGAAAGAGCCCATGGAGTTCAAGCCGGAGAGATTCATGGCCGGAGGGGATGGAGAAGGGGTGGATATTACCGGGAGCAGGGAGATAAAGATGATGCCTTTTGGGGTAGGGAGGAGGATTTGCCCTGCGGTTGGGCTCGCCATGCTTCACCTTGAGTACTTCATAGCAAATCTGGTGCGGGAGTTCCAGTGGGATGCTGTGGAGGGAGAGGAGATTGATTTTACTGAGACGACTGTATTTACAATAGCGATGAAGAAGCCTCTGCGAGCTCGGATTACCCAGAGAAGGAAGGCTTATTAAGCTTTTGTGTTCTTTTTACAATGTTGTCATGTGGGCATGAAAAAATTATTCCATCCCCAGTTTTGATGGGGTTTTATATCAGAACTTCAATCAGAATCTGTTACGTATATGATGATAAAATGTTTTATTTTTTTTATTAAAAATTTAAGTTTATGGGGTTGAAAAATTCTCTTAAAAACTTAAAATTTTATTTGTTCTCAAATGTATTTCAAATAAATTTAATTTTGATTTGAAAAAAATGATTATAAAAATGATTATGTATATGAAGTTTGAAGAAAATTGATCATGTATATGATGTTATATTATGAAAGTAAAATTTTAATATAAAAATGAGTAAGAGAATTCAGTTAAAATTTATAGTAATGAAAAAAAACTTAAAGTTAAAAAATGAAAAAAAACTTAAAGAATGAAAAAAAACTTAAAGTTAAAAATTTTTAGTGTGAAAAATGCTAAATATAGTGTAACTAACTTTAGTAGGAAAAATTTAAAAAAAAAATTATAAGATTTAGATTTTTATTTTAAAAACATAAATTTATTTTATTTAAATTAATTATCAAAATTATTATTATGTTTTTAAGTGAAAGAAAAATATCAATT